AAACCGCGACTGAGTTAGTGGCTCCCTGTGGTAATCTGGTTCTGGGGAACCGGCCCAAAGGGGTTTCAAAGGTTGTCAAAGGTCGAGAGCTGATGTCTAATTCACGTTCGTCATAGCCGCCCATAATGTCGCCAAGCCCGTAACAAGCTCGGCCGGTGAATGATTCAATCAAATCCTCTGGTGCGGGGGGCAATCCTGTGTCTTTAATTGTGACTTTATTTAATTTTTGAAGGTCGTGGACCACTCGGAGCTTTCCATCCTGTTTCTTGACGCAAAACACTGGACTTGAATAGCTGGAACAAGATTGCTCATAGAGTCCGGTCCGAATCCGTTCTCTAACCAACTCAATGAATTGATCTCTGATGGCCTGGGCGATAGGAATTGGTCTTTGTTGCCACGGCTCATGGGCAATTACTGGGATGATGTAAGGTTTACCGTATGAATGTTTCAGTAACCCCCTCTCTTCTTCTACAAAGGCTAAGGCACCTTCTCGAAGCTTGATGACGTGCTTGAGCAAATTTAACTCTTCATCTGAAAGCCACCCGGTCGGTCCGAAATTTACGACTTTAAGGCGTTCCTCAGTTATTTTAGTAGTAGGCACGAATTCTGGGGGATAAGGCGTGAGTGGAGTAGTGTAAGGATCCCGAGATAGAACTGGAAAACTAAGTGGGGTATTGATATTTTGGGGCATAGGTTCGTTGACCGGTTTTACTTTCTTTGCTGCGGATTTATACTTGGCTGCGCAGACTAACACTCCATCGCTACGTTGCATTTGTTGTTCGAAGATATTTTCTGACGATGCATCACTGGAGGCTGTTACCACGTTTGAAGTTGTAGTTACGTTCGTAGGAAAGGTTGTCTTGTATTCTTGATTAGCCGGAGTAATAATAGGAACCAAGTAAACTCGTCCTTCGTCGTCTTTAATGGACAGACTCTCCCCGCCTTCTTCTGCGTACCGCATAGTTGCTGATACGTCGATCAGGAAGGGTTTACCTAAGATAGGTTGCACGTCTCCAGTGGATACCCAGAAGTGGACTTTTCGAGAGATATTTCCAATTTTAACGCGTACTGATTCGGCTATCCCAAGGATTTCGTTCTTGTGACCACCGATTCCCTTGAGGTTCATTTTCTTTTCCGTAACGATGAGGCCCAGGCGTACCGCAAGATCCTTCGGGAGTACATTCACCATGGAGCCGTTGTCCAGAAGCGGTTGGACTTCCTTACCGTTTATACCTACCTTTATGTGGCCCAGCGGGCATGCGTAATGGGACCTGCGTGGGGCCTCCGTTTCTTCCTCTTCGTCGTCGTCTGAGTCCACTCCTCCGGCGTTAGTTACCTTTTCTGGTGGGCCGCCCTCGATTGGGACCTTTCGTCGTGAAATCTTCTTCTTGAAAGCCTCGGAGACGCCATTGGAGATCGCAAAAATTTTACCATAAGAGAGTTCCATTTTGCCTTCCAAGACCATTCTTTGGACGACTCGTTCTTCGGCTTCGGGAAACTCTTTAGACAAGGTCTTTTCCAAGTAAGTTTTCTTGGGCACTTTTTCTTTTGCTTCCGGTGTGGTGACTTCTGGTTTCTTGAACTGAACTTTCTTTGGTACCTCTGCCGCCGCTTTCTCCAGATGCTCTTTGTACCCTGGGAATAGGTCGTGGTTGTCTTGTCGTGCCAGTTCGGTAATTTCTTCCTCGACATCCATTAAGTCTTCGCTATCCTTTCGAGTTTTCTTTGGGGCCGGAGGCCCAGAGACCTCTTTTCCGCTCCTCAACCGTTTGGCGGCGTCAACATCGTAAGAGCTAAGTTTTTCAGGGGTGCACTCTTCCAATTTACCGTAAGAAGTGCGGATTTCTGATGTCGGTTCCTGCTTTTTAATTTCGGTTCCCGGAGGAAGGTTGATGATTCCCGGGGTCTGTGATGGCGTGCAGTTCTTATCCACGACTTCTTTTATGGCGCGTGACCTGTCGGGCTGTACTATGGTTCCATTAGGAAGTTTGAGGTCCTTTCCTTCGCAGTAAACTTTTTTGTCGAATTCGTCCTGGGCAAATAAACTGCATCGATACACCGTGTGTTTATCCCCGAAGCAATAATGGCATTTTAAGGTCGACGGTGGTCTCTCGTATTGCGCCGGCCTGTAGGGTACGTGGCTGGCTGATATCACGGGGCCTTTCTGGACGTTCCATCCTGCTAAGGTCTTGGTTAACTCCTTGACAGTTGGATCCTTTCGTGGCGTATTTGCTGGGGCTCGTGGCGGCGCTGGTTGATTGGCGGCCGGTTGCTTTGCCGGGGGATCCTCTCCTTCTAAGATTGAGATGGTCTTGAGTTCACGACTGATATATTCCATAATAGTTAGGTACGGCGGCAAAATGTGGGATCCATCCACCAATAAGCGCATTTGGTTATCTCTGATAAGTTCCTTTGTGACTGAGACCTTAATTGGATGGACCAGGCAGTTTAATACGGCGTGTCAAATTTCCTCTGCGTTACCCATGTGTTGGCACCGGACGAGGTAAGCCACCAAGTTATCTATCTTGATACGGAAATTTTGGAACTCCCTTTGAGTCTTGATACCGGATGCGCGTGTTGTTGCTAGGAGCTGATCCAAATCGTTCCTCGTATGTTTCAGGAGCGGCATCATCTTACCCCAACGTAGCACCATCCGTTCTTTCAATTTTTCCCAGTCGTGGTTCTCCTTTTCGGCCATTTCCTGGACTTCTTTTACCAAAGTCTTGCCTTCAAGGAAGAAAATTATCTGAAGCGCAATGTTGGATCCTAGGGCGCCATCTATCTATGCGGTGTATTCCAGGCGCTTAATAAAATTGCTGATGTCCATGTTAGTACTGTTGAACATTAGTCCTTTAGATTGGGACTTAATTTTGACTGGTTTTCGTCCGAATGGCTCCGGGTTATACGCCGGCAGCACAACACGACTTTACAGAAAATGAGGACTTGGTAGTATATTCCCTGCTTGGCCATGACTTGGGAAACCGTGACCGGGCAATCGAGATCCTGCAGAGTGCTCTGATAACGCCGGGTTCGCAGTTGGGCCATCTGAAGACGAATTTTCCGAGACGTTGTTTTGGTCGCGGAATGGTCCGGGGTTGAGAGGTAAGTTGTTGGATAATTGTCCAATATTGGACGAGTAGAGGTTTATAGGAACTGGCTGGTTACGGTAAGACATTTCTAGAAGCTATGAAGTAAATCTAATCTAATTTTTGTGTGTGCTTTTATGAGTTTTGAGGTGCGGAAAAAAAGCGAGAGATAGTGATGATAGTAATGTAAGGAAAAGATTTTTTTTTTTTAAGGGTTTTGTATCTTAAGATTGTAATGGATAACCAAAACGTGACTGTTTAATCTAGAGATCGTCAGGCCACTGTTGGGACACCACTTGTGGAACTACCCGGTGGGATCAGATAGAGTGTGGAAGGGTAAATGCGCCGTGAATAAGGCTGCCCTCCGGTAAAAGGTGATAAGGTAGTAGACAAGGAGAGTTCAAATACTCTCTGAAGATGTGGTGGACAATTTCTGACTAGCAAGGTGTGATAATATTTTCTAAGTACTTTACCTGAGGACTTTACCTGAGGACTATGACAAAGGACAATAACTAACTAAGTGACCAGGCTGAGCACGTCAAGGAACTGATGAGGGAACAAATGATGAGGGGAAAACATGGCTCCTTATATACAAAATCTGGGGAGTGGCCAGCTTGTGGTTTGAGAAAAGGATCAAGTAAAAAATATCAAACTGAAACACCACGGCCCAGAAGGTGGCTGCTAAGACCAAAGAGGACACAATGACATAGCCTGCTTTCCCAAAAGGGTGCGTAAGTCTGAGACGCGCATAGCCACATGCAGGCGCATGCATAGAAGTAAGAGACTAATCCCCAAGTGGGTGCATTAGTGTGAAACAGAAAGATAAGAGAAAGAGGAGTGCATATGCAGCAGCTCCAGAAAGAGAAAGAATGAAACAAGAGAAATCAAGGAGGGTTCCTAATACCCTGGCTCTGTCTGAGGGGTGACTTTCCCCCCCCCACGTGTGGTCTGGGTGCCTTGAGATTTCTATCTTGAGGACCAAGGTGTTTGGGCCTTCCTGTCCTGATTGTACGGCGCATTGAGGCATTGATGTTTTGATTTGGCTTACCACACCGCACGCTTTCGAGGACCAGTCACTAGGATATAAAAGGAGGCTGTAGATGAAAGTAAGAAAGGGTAGACTCAGCACGACATCCACTTTTTCATTATCCTCTCCTGACACCCATTACCAACGAACTAACTTCTTTTTCGCCCTTCCGCTTACACTATTACAAGAACTCCACCGATTCAACCTCTGTGACACCGTACCCTTAAGCTCCGTCAACCAGGTTTGAGCCACTTTCTAGACTAGTATCCGAGTAACGAGGATTCAGAGCCGACAAGATACAAACGAAGGCCTCTCGATAGTGAGTCCTTTCTTTCCTAGCTCGGTACCACTATCCTCTACTCCATCTACCTTAGTACAGACTACCACCCCTAGCCAACACTAGGACCTGTCCCGTAGAGCCGCCTACCGTCACGCTCCGTATAAGCGTTAGACCAAAGCTCGTTACTCCGAGGGCACCGTAAACACCCCCATCGACCTGGGCCCCTCGATCCCTCTCAACTACCCACCTGTGGCTGCAAAATTCTTCCATCCCAAATGGAGGAAACCTATGTTCACATCTTCCACTTGGGATGGAAAAAGCCTGAGTTGAGCTCGCCCAAATTTATCAGCTCAGCCAGCTCAGCCAGCTCAGCCAGCCCATCCAGCTCATGGAGCCAGCCCAGCCAGCACTAGAAGCCAGCTCATCCAGCTCCCCGAGCCAGCTCATCCAGCTCATCCAGCTCCCCGAGCCAGCTCATCCAGCTCCCCAAGCCAGCTCATCCAGCTCCCCGAGCCAGCTCATCCAGCTCATCCAGCTCCCTGAGCCAGCTCATCCAGCTCCCTGAGCCAGCTCATCCAGCTCCCCGAGCCAGCTCATCCAGCTCCCTGAGCCAGCTCATCCAGCTCCCTGAGCCAGCTCATCCAGCTCCCCGAGCCAGCTCATCCAGCTCCCTGAGCCAGCTCATCCAGCTCATCCAGCTCATCCAGCTCATCCAGCTCAGTCAGCTCATCCAGCTCAGTCAGCTCCCCTAGCCAGCTCAGTCAGCTCCCCTAGCCAGCTCAGTCAGCTCATCCAGCTCATC